GTGCTCATATGCCCATCCGCTGAAATATGTATTCTATATTACACTGTGCAGTAGATTCGTCACACATAATAATGTACAAAACAGACTGTTCTATATCGCTGTTCGCTCAAGTGCGAATGATAATCCAGAAGAGGCTGCCAGCTAGTGTTGCGCCGGCCAATGCCCCCTCCAATGCCAGAACGGAGGCATCTTTCATTCGGAAGTCTAACCGCCTATCGCTGAACAAATCTTCAAACGCAGCTCTCCATCTTGGTGCATCAAGCAGGAAGTTTTTCCATGCATCCAGATCCAGATCCAGAAGCGTTGTTTTAATGTCTCTTAGTTGTTGGGCTTTGGTTTTAGGGGTAGCAACCATATGCTCTGTAGCGGCGACTGTTTCCGAAACTGCTTCCTCAGTCACTGCGACGGTAGGTTGATCATTCAGCTGTGTCGTTTCCAGCTTCGCGTCTTCTCGCAGCTGCAGGGCCTCTTTGAGAGCAGTCAGCTCGGAGCGAACCTCTTCCAAAAGTCCTTTTTCTTCGGCAACTACTCCCTTGACGAGACGTCTTCGTTTCCAAGGTTCCGCAAAGAATTGGATGACGACGAACAGGAGAAAGTTCATCCCCATAAGACCCCATGTTCCCCATGTACTGGCTCTCCGAATGCGATCGCTCCAAATTTGCTCCTCGTGATATCGCTTCAATATCCCATTATTCAACCTTTGACTTAAGCTCTGCTCTTCCGCCTCAGCCTCAGTCAGCGATTCCTGTGCATGCGCGACCTCGCCCTCGAGAGAATGGTCTGTTCGGTACAGTTCCGTAAATCGCTCAAGGTCACTAGGAATCCACGACTCCTTCCGCGCAAGGAGCGTTGTCACCTCTCGCTGGGTAGTCGCTCGTTTCGAATTGGATGTTTTGTAGGCCTGCCGGGCAGAGCGGACGCGGGCCTGGGCATCAGCGAGGGATATCTCGAGTTGGGCATTGTCTGCTTTGATGGCCTCGATGCTGGTGTATCCGGTCATCTCGTTGAGGGTTTTCGACGCTGTGAGGACCCGAGACTGTACGTTGTCCATAATCTCGCTGAATCTTTGATTGATTTCGCTGCGTCTCTTTTCCAATGCCGACGGGAGATCCCGGTGCTCCCTGCTGCTAGAGCGTTGGTCGGTAATTCTGCTAAAGTTGTCGACGGGTTGAGAACGTTCCTCAAGAACTATCGGGGGATCTCCAGCAGCTTCCTTCGGGGGCTTCGGTGGCTGCGACGAGAAAGACCGCCATAGACTACGAGGGCCGAGGCCGCACGGGGGCCGTGGGTATGTAGGTTGGAGACATGGTCCCCAATTCAATGAGGAGCTGAACCTCGAGGATGCCTGGAGCCCCAATCTTGTCTGGCTCACGATAGCCCGGGCGATGGGGCGTCCGAAAGGCTGCATCTCCGAGTTAATTATGTCGTCGCGACATTCGAGGTTCCGGTAGCCGATACATGTTGAGTTCTAAGCCTGGCCCGGCCGGGGAAATCCGTGGGTTTCTGCCATGCCATTCATGCTGACCGCTTCCCTAATACGGAGCGCCGCGCCAAGACTTGACGGCAGCGTCACCAGTCAGAGCAACGGAGAAGTTGGAAGAAACGTTTTTTGCTGATCAAACACCAGGATCAGAGTAGTGGCAACCCAACACAGTAAAGACGTGCCCATCGGGTCCTTTCGCGGAAAATGGCTCTAAAATATTCATATTCCGAACTGGCTGAAGCTGTTTGATCCTCCCTGAGACTCGAGAGCATGGCCTGGACGGCGATTCGGCCGGGTCCAACAGCGCTAAATGCAGCCCCTGCAGCCACATGCTACGGCCAAGCTCTAGCCCATGACGACAGCGGTCATCGTGCAGCTGCCGCTTGACCCAGAATGTATTCTCCGCGCTCCTCATCGCTCCCGTTGCCTTCGGACAGTGCAACGGCGCTGCGTTTTTTCGGCGGGTTTATTTTCCTTCAAGGTGTCTTCTCTCATTTTAGTATAGCCGGCGAAGCATTGGCCCGTAAAACTAGAGCAAATAACCAGTTGAATCGCAAGTTTGTCCGCTTGTTGCTGGGCATTTACGTAGGTCGTATCTTATCTCACCCCCACGCTGCAGCTGCCCCTCCATCGGTGCCCCTCCATAATTGCATCTTCAGAGCCTGATCTTCCTACCCTCCTATTTTTTTCTCTCTCTTCAATTGTTCATACAACCTTGCGCAATTCCTCTACTATAGAGCCCTGAAGAGATCTCCGGAACTTTCCAGGTTATTTCTGACCAGATACAACACTCGTTCTCAAAATGGCGTCGACGAATAGCGAAACGCCTGCCTTGGCCACCAACCCCAAGTTCATATTTTTCACAGACTTCGACGGCACGGTCACCACCGCCGACTCCAATGACTTCATGACCGACAACCTGGGATTCGGCAAGGCGAAGCGCGTCGAATCCAACAAGGGAGTCTTGTTCGGCCACGTGCACTTCCGCGACTCTTTCCAGGAAATGCTCGACAGCATCAACACCCCCTTTAACGAGTGCCTTGAAATTCTCAAGAAGAACATTGTCCTCGACCCCGGCTTCGCCGAGTTCTACAACTGGTCTCGCGAGAACAACGTCCCCATTGTTATTCTGAGTGGTGGCATGGAGCCCGTCATCAGAGCTCTCCTGGACATCTTGCTGGGACCTGGCTGGGATATCCAGATTGTCAGCAACGACGTTACAAGCAGAGAGGGCAAGGACCTCAATGAGAAGGGTGGCTGGACCATCAAGTTCCATGACGACAGGTTGGTTTTCTCTTTTTGCGATTCGATAGACTTTTGGGCACTGAACAATGCGCTGTAGTATCCACGGCCACGACAAGTCCATTGAGATCCGAAAATATTCTTCTCTGCCTAACAGGCCGACGCTATTCTACGCAGGTGACGGAGTTTCCGACCTGTCAGCCGCCAAGGAGACCGACCTACTCTTCGCCAAGGCCGACAAGGGTGAGCCACCTTGGACACCGAGATACGATCGACTTGTGACGCTGACTGACTGTGCCCAGATCTTGTCACCTACTGCGAGAATGAGAAGGTCCCATTTGTTACTTTCCGCGACTGGACCACCATTACTCAGACCGTCAAGGATATTGTTGCCGGCAAAACTAACGTCCAAGAAGCCGCCAAGGGCCGGATTTGATTGCATATTTGCGCATTAGAATCGTTTGATGGCGAGGATATCAAGATGGTTGAGCCATAATAGAGTTGTTTCATGCCATAGATTTGCGAAGACCTCAATTTTCAATAGAAGTAAACCATGAGGATATTTATACAAAAACCTGATATAGACTTTGAATACGAAGTACTTTCCTACATAACATAAAAAATTGATACAAACCCTCAGAAAGGGAAGTAGAGAAATAAGATAGTGTAGATTATTAGCCATGACTCAAAGTTAAGAAGTCTGCAACTGTATTGTATCGACCAGAGTGGTGATGGATCAGGTTGGAGCACGAGGAGACGAGCTTTAGGCGGTAAACTTGTCCTTAGACAATATCCTAGAATACTATTTCTATCAAATCTCGTCCTCTGCCCACCAAAATAGCTCTCTCCTCTCAATGCCACCCGGAGAATTTTGGGAGCCACTAGCCTCTCCGGCACCGTCGCCATGAGAACTGGCAAGAAGTCGATTCTTCCGGTACTGAAGTAGCCCCCGGTCCTGCGGATGAGTCACAAACCTTTGGTCGCGTTCAATAATCAAAGGTAGATCTATATATTGGAGTTTCAGGAGCTCATCGTGGTGAAGAAAGACTTTGACTGAGTCCGTGGGTGTCTCCGGCAGTTTGATCTCCGCGCGGCAGTCTTGTCTCAGTTGGGTCGGAAGGCTTGCAACATGCAATAGATCCTGCACCTCACCACTATTTACTTTGAGTTGGACACCTTCCTCGTTGAGTAGAGTAGACATAATCGTCTCTGCTCCGCTAAAATCGGCCTGCAGAGTGCCTACTATTTTCCCGGGGGAGGAATTAGAAAGGTGATAAAGTTGACCTGTAGTCTCCTTAGTGGTGTGTGGTTGGTACAATACGTCTGTGGCCTCTAAAAGGAGGCTGTTTGATGCTTCCGCGGGTGATATTGGAACATCCAAGGCTCGTGAGCTCTCCTTGTCCGTAAACAAGCTAGATGGTAAACGATAAACCTTTAAGATATCGCTTAAAATTCCTTTCCACACTAGGTATTCACCACAGGCTGATAAATTCACGGTCTCATCCTCATCAAAATCAATAGGAATAGTTTGCCTCTCTGTGAAGACTCTAGTTAGCTACTTTTTCAAATCTTAATTTCAAGAGAGTCTATTACCCTTCAAGAAGCTCCATAAGAAGAGTTTTTCGGAAGACATTTGATTAAGGCAATAGGCAATGTTGGATGAAATGTGGCATTGGTATTGCTGCTCCAACGGCGATTTCTGGAGTCCGTTTGTCGGAAAGGGTCGTTCCCATCCAGTACAAGGCGGCATAGTCGGTGAAGGGGAGCGCACGTCCTACAGTGGCTGCTGAGACCCAAACTTGCATGCTAGAGGATGAATAGGAGTGTGGTAGAACAATTGTTGAAGACATTGTGTTGCCAAGCGTAGATGCATCTCGAAAGAAGATGAAACTGAAATAATCGGTAACGATAGTTGGCCAGCTTAATCTTCTGATTTAAAGAGTGTATTTGGTTCACCGAGCACTTCCTTAACTGAAAGACGTACGAATTTCAGAATGTTGATAACCTCCGAATTGGATGGCAAGGGAGTAATTTCCACTAACCCGCACACGCAATGAGTGCCGCCCTTTCAAACCCCAAAATATCGTCAGATTGATCTCTCAGGGACCAAACTGCTGCATTAGATAATACCTACCGAGTTTGGTTGGTTCTCATGGCTGTTGCGCGGTACTCCAACCAAATCAGAAGGTGAGTTGCCAATCTATAAGCTGTCTCGCCTGACTTCTTGATGTGACGGAAAATGCGTTGGTACATTCTTTCCAAGCCTTCAGGAAACTCAATATCTCGCAATATCCTCATTCTCTTGTCTTTGGGAATGTGCGGGAGATCGGATAAATGTAATCATAAGGCGAGCCCATAGGAACATCCCGTCAGCTCCAAGAGCCATATGAGCAGTTAATTCGTCGAGACACTCTTCAGCACAGTCCGGGAGGATTCCATCTTCGATGAGTTCCTCTAGTTCTCGATGGCTGAATTGGCAAATGTCTTGCTCCACCTCTGTTCTTTTTCGGCAATGGCAATCGGTGTTCGCGAGAGACTGATAATTGTAGCTGTCTGACATGTATACGACTCATTGCCAATGCTCTAGTCGACGAAGCCTTTATCGCTTCCAGAAGACCTTTGATGAACTCCTCGTCGTCTACACAGGGTTTACAGCTAAGCCGCTCCTGAAGGAATAGAAAGCTTGGGCATAAATTCTACATCAACATTTGCCCGCCATATAAATCCAGCCAACGAAATGATTTCTGGGGTGCGGAATTTGTGGGATTATGAGGACGTTATTGCCGCCAAGAGTGCAGTGCACATCTGTTTGTAGTCCAGACACCATACGTAGCTCTGATTATTGTACCTTTGTCTCGGTCTATGGAGATGGGCTCTGACGTGGCACGCTCTCAAAGGCTTCTAGGCATTCTGTCTGGTGCAACCTTCCCCCCTGAATGTAGCGGTTGTCAGTGGGGGCTTCACGTAATATTGCGTCCATGGAGGCTCGCTTCTCCCTGCTCATATCCAGGGCTCTCTCATCCCGTTTGAGACTTGTCAGTTTTCTCCATGTACGTCCTGATGGGACCGGAACTTGCTGCAGCTAGGGAGGGGCTATACGAGGGCTGATGAGGGGCTATGCGAGGAGTAATTTTCAGCTTTCAGCTCCCAGCAACTGAAGGGTGATCATCATGCCTGTAAATATAAAAGCCCTTCATTGAACCATTGGACGGCGATGTTATACTCACTTCAACCCTCAACATATACAGAACAACGGCCAGCTGATAAGGAACGTGTCTCCAACCCTGCTTCCTCCAACTTTATACACATTAAATTAACCTCAACCCTTACAATTTGCTCGAGATGCGACTGCTGCATACAACATCATTTCGTCTGAAGGAATACTTTGATGAGAACGTCCCTGATTACGCTATTTTATCACATACCTGGGGGCGAAATGAGGTCAGCTATCACGATATTCAATCCCAAAGTGATCCAAATACCATAGACGGCTTCGATAAAATAAAGGGCGCTTGCGCTTTAGCCGCCAGGGAGAAATATGATTTTATTTGGATCGACACGTGCTGCATAGACAAATCGAGCAGCTCAGAGCTATCAGAGGCCATCAACTCCATGTATTCGTGGTACCAACGGGCTGCCGTGTGCTACGCGTACCTCGCAGATGTACAGTTTCTCGCAGGGGCGGAGGATGATATTACTGTTCAAGAACCACCTAGAGTAAGTTCTTGCCAGCACAGCTTCACCATTACAGCTAACATCGACCAGGATTCACCTACTACATCCAGTCGATCGGAACCCAACAAGAATTCCTCTCCAAAACCACCCATTTGGAATTTTGAGGAGTTTGAATTTAGGAATAGTCGTTGGTTTACCAGAGGATGGACCCTTCAGGAGCTTGTTGCTCCAAGAAAGCTTTTCTTTTATTCTCGCGACTGGAAACGTCTTGGCTCTAAAGACTCGTTGAGAGACTTGATTTCAAGCATCACGGGCATTGACTACAGCGTTCTTGCAGGAGGTGATCTTAAACCTATTTCTGTGGCCCGCAAGATGTATTGGGCTTCCAACCGGACGACTACGAGAAAAGAAGACATGGCTTATTGCTTGATGGGTATTTTCTCAGTCAACATGCCTCTTTTATATGGTGAAGGCGAGAGAGCATTCCTTCGCCTACAGGAACAGATCATCACCATGAACGACGATCAGTCCATCTTCGCCTGGACACTTCCTCGGAGACGGGCAGAGAGACAACTCCTGCACGGGTTACTTGCCCCCTCACCTCGAGCTTTCATGGATACTGGCCGGAAGGTGTGGCTATTTCCGCCTATCCATCGAAGAAAGCGAGCCGTCAGAGTTGTCAACAGTAGCCTGGAGGTTGAAGTCATTTTGCGACCACATGACAATATGGTGAATCGGACCGTACTTTCTGGGTTCAAAGACATGGTGCCAAATCTTAACAGACATAGCCTCTCGGTCGTGCTCGATTGCCAGATGGCTGCTTCAAGTGACTCTTGGGCCTGCATTGACATGGTGGAATTAAATCCACAGGATGGGCTAAGTGACAGACTATTTGCACGGGTCCGTCCTTGGGAATTTAATAGTGTCACACCGAAAGGGAATGTTATGACCAGTCGTGTTTATCATGCCTTACATGGTGGTTATTTCCCCTCACAAGAGTGGCCTGCATCACTCATTGGTACGTATTTACCGGTTCCGAGAAGACTACCTACCTACCTAGTTGTGCCTAACTAAGAGGATTTGAATGTAATCCAGAGGGATGCAGTTTAATTTGGAACACTTTCTGGCATAGTTCCATCCCGTGGAATTTACAAACTATCTCGGCGCCTCACAATCCACAACATCCTATGCCTCTAGGATTTGGTCTCCAGTTGGACGAAATGCTCTTCGTAGTCGCGGGTTTTCCAGCAAACCGATGGTATGACCACGACAAGATATTACAGATGGACCACCATAACCGAACCAGGACACAAGATGTACCCAAAGGGCTTCTAAACTCAAAAGAACGCAGCATCTCCAAGTCAGATTCTCATGACCCGTCTATAACCTGGACAGACCAAGAATCTTCAAGAGTGGAGGGTATTATTAGGATAGATTCAAATAGAGACTCGCTATTGTCTGTAGCGTTAGTATTAGGTGTGAAACATAAGCTCTCAGGTGGCTCGGCGTGGTATCAAAAGCCATGGTGCCGGCTTATTTCTAGCGAAACAGCAGGGAAACCTGAAAATATCAACTACCAAATCGACTGGGAGGAAACTAATGAGTCAAACATCAAATTATCTGGAGAGCTACAAGCAAGTGTAGAAAAGGCTGATAGCAATGGGCTCTTCCAAGTAAAAGTAATAATGCTTAATTGATTAGGTATGAAGTAATATATTATTTATGAAAGTGTAAGCGTGCCTGACAATGAGTATAACAGTTACACATTATATTCGCACCCTACCTAGCTATCTTACTTAGTCAACTCTCTCATTATTAATCTTATTATAAAAGAGATCTAAAAGCTAAGCTAGGTGTTATAGTCCTAGGGTAATTCAAGTGGGAAAAATAAGATAGGACCTTGTATTTTATCTCTCTATAATTATCTTCTTAAGTCTCTAAAGTATCTAGTAGAAATATCGCGAGGACTGATTTTCTAGATCCAGGATAGCCTATAGGATAGATATAGTTTCTGTGGAACTTACCTTGAATCCATAGCATGTTTCTCCTAAACCGGCGACTATGTTGGCTCTTCGTCTCGTTCGTTATTGGTTGAATCCATGATTTGTATTGAGCATGATCCAAAATCCACTCTCCGGTGTTAGGTTCTCTAAGCCGCGAATGTAATTCTCGAATTCCAGCAGAGCCTGGAGAGTCGAGCCACTTTTGAATTCGTTCAACTGTTTCTTCTTCACGAAGGATTAGTTTCCATGGTCTTAAACATGCCAACTGTATGTGTGAGGAATAGTTCGATACCAGGCACTTACCAAGACGGCGCTCCTCTAATTTACGTTTCTCAGCTTGAATCTCCCTTAGAATAGTTAGAATCTCCTTTCTTGATTCCAAGTCCGCCTCCTTTCCCAGGTCAGTGAGTCGTTTTTCTTCAGACAACACACGACGCTCTTCCTTTGCATCCTTCAGTTCTTGGCTGATATACTTTCGCCAAATCATCGTTTCTGTGTAGTTTTGATCGTCCCGCTTCAGTTTCCATATCCTGACCTCTGCGTCGATGTTCTCCTTGTGGACATTCATTTTCTGGATCAGACTGTTGAATCTGATATCGAAAGGCTTCCAGAGGAGTGTACCTAGAACGACCGGTGTTCTCTTGATTTCTGTGGTTTATGGATACATAGTCAGCCTTCGTATATCTTGGGGTGTCCACAGTGTGTATGGGTCCAAGAAACTTACTTCCGCTTGATTTCGCAAACACTTTTACCGCAGCCTGGAATATCTCCAGCATGTCCACGTATACTTCCAACACGTTTTGTCGAATTCGTTCAGAACCCGCATCTTTGCACAGGCTGACTACGTCAGCGTACCTGGGAAACGCATCTCGAAGGTGGACAAGGAGCTCGAGAAGTTTGTCGAAGAACGTCTGAACCCGACTAGACAACTGAAATGACTATGGTTAGTGGATGCCAATGCAACAAGAAGTACCTAGACATACCTCGAGAACTAGGCGGAGAGCTCCCCAGAATATGGCGGAGATTTCCGGATTACACTGGATGAAAATTCCCACAACATCAAAATAAGGCTGGAGGAACGTGTTTAGGGTATAGAGACATTTCAACCCCTTGGCAGCCTTCGTAGAGGTTCTGCCCGCTGCGGCCTTTAGTTTGTCAATCGCCTTGACGAAGTCATCACTCGAAGCGCAGGGTGAGAATAGTTTTTTATGATCAGGGGACAGAGAATCGAGAAACTTGTCTCTAGCAGCCCCGAAAAGACTCAAAGTATCCTTTGTAGTCGAGGTACTATCGTCCACACATCCAGGAGGCATCGTGTTAGGGCGTCTGCGACAGAGTCCTCGTTAGGAACAGAAATCTCGTTAGGAACAGAATCCTCGATAGGGACAGACTCCTTGTTCGGAACAGAGTCCTCTTTAGGAGAACCCTTACGCTTGGAACATATGAGTCCGTATAATTACGTTCCTCGAAATGAGTGTTAGAATTCAGGAAATCCCGGCCTCTTCGAAGAGCAGAATGCCCCCGCCCAAGATTCAGCCCGAATATGCAGTTGCACGTTTCATATGCAACCTTGCTACGTACCTATTCACTCTATTGGCTATGATATATCCCAACCTTCCATGTCGGTTAGTCCAAGTCCCAGTCTTGTGCTACAGTTCTGGGCATGTGTGCCCATAAGCCAGCGGTGTTCAATACCGCAATGGGCGAAAATGCCGTCCAGCAACATCACTATAGAGCAACCTCGCGCCCTTTGCCCTATTGGGGGATTGACTGGCCCAAAAAAAAAAAACAATACTACTAGAGTAGTTAGAAAACCAGAGTAGGTTACTCCGACCTCTTATCCTGAGAGGGTATTTCCCACCAACATATCAGCATGACAATGAACATAGAAATAGCAATGGGGTGCAGGACAGACGTCCCAACCGCCTGCGCCAACAACCCCGTAATGAAGGGGGCAACGGCACTTCCAAGGCTTCCGCAGGCGCTGATGGTGCTCATCCCGGACACGGCCTCCCGCCTCGTCATGTTCCTCAAGAACACCGCAGCCGAGCAAGGATAGATGGGTCCAAGCATAAGGCCAACAATGGAAATAGCCACGGCGTTAGTTACGATATTCGGCACGGCCCAGACGAGGACCTGGAAAGCTAGCGCACCAAGCGTCAAGCAGTATATGAACAGTTTCTCGCCAAAGCGCTGGGCCGGGCCTGCGAAGACGAGCCGGCCGATGGTAATGCATGCCCAGAAGCCGGCCGTGACATACCCGACGGAGGAAGGGTCGCCGTCACGAGCAGTGATGAGAAACGAGATGACCCAGCCCGAAATAGACACCTCGGCACCTTGGTAGGCGAAGATGAAGACAGACCCAAGAAGAATGACTCTCGAGTTGAGAGTAGAGTACACGCCCAGGAGGGGTGAAGCCTCAAGGGGCTCGTTGGCCGGTGAGCCCTGTTCCTTCTCGTAGTTGTTGAAGGCCCAGAGGGAAAGGCCGGCGCAGATGACGATCAGCCCAAGGGTGACGAGGTAGTACCGGCTCCATACCGTCTCTGCAACAGTCATAAGTGTGGTAGCTATCAGAGGACCCATCATACCTCCAAGGCCAAACGAGCCGTGCAACAGCCCGAGCATAAAGGTGCCATTCTGCAGACCGCCGCAGAAGACATTGCCCACAACGTCGTTGGTGGCAATACCAAAGCCCACGAATATAAAACTCAGAGCAACAACAGCAAAGGGGGCAGTGAACACTACCGGTATGTATCCCAACAACATCAACGCCTGACCCAGCCCCAGAACCTTGCCCCGGCCGAGTTTGTCTCGTAAGGAATCTAAAAATGCGGCGGCAAAGATGAATCCAATGGCGTGCCCCACGAATATCATCGAGACCATGGCGTAGTCGATGCCATAATGCCTAGTACACATAAAACTATCAGAACCATGATGGGGGGAGTTGGCTCGGAGGCGTCGGATGACAACTCACGACTGGATATACGGAATCAGGGCACCAAAGGCCCCGTCATTCAGCCCGCCTATAACACTAGCAACACAGACAGCCAGCAGGCGGAACCGGTTCATAAAGGGCTCCCAGACGCTAGGGAGCTTTTCCATAACATCACGGCCTCGCACAGGGCTCGACGACCGGCTCCTCTCTAGATCATCGTGTTCGGCGGAGAAGGCGGTGGCTCCCGTCGGGAAGCTCTGACCCGCCGGGTGAGCCCGAAGCTCTACGACGTTTGTCCCCGTCCTGGGCTGGATCACGGCCAGCTCTTGGTTGCCCGCGGCGGAGTCTGAGGTCTCATTGTTGGCGTGTAAGTCGGGAGGTCCAGCCTTCATTTCAAGACATGTCAGGACGGACGTCGCCATAACTTGCCGGAAAACAAGTCTGGGAAAGGCGGCAGATATCAGACAGCCGCGACCTTCAGCCAGGCAGGAGGCAACTTTTATCAAAGCCGGCTCGTATCTCGGCCTCAATGCGGCGAAACTGGACGACCCCCGCAGGCCTTCATAGCTCGCGGCGTACACTTATACCACCCGCCGCGGGCATATATTGTGCAAAATAATGTAGTGGAATGCCTGCTTTCGGTCTTACTGCCGTCTCTCAGAGGAACCGTCGGCTCTTTCGTTCCACAGGGCCGGACTCGCACCCATGCCCAGCCCACTTTCTGAGCTCTGTTGAGGTTTCATCGGTGTTGACAGCTTGGCACCGGTCCGAGCCATAAACCTTAATGCACACACCCACTGGGATGTCCAATGTCACGGTCGGTGAGCGCCAGTTGTGAAGAATGCACAGCTGTTATCACGCCCTCTCTCCCCTTGATGCGATGCCTCCGTTTATGCCACACAGGCGCAGCTCACAGCCCGCGATGATGGATTCTACTAGAGCGACTTGGCGTTGTCAATATTGACGGACATCCCATTCGGGAAAGTCCGCCCAAGATCAGTCCAATCTTACCAAAATGGGGCCAGTTGAAGGATATTACTATATTGGGATTCATGCGTTAATCCGGTACGACATCCCACTTGCCAAGCCCACAATGCCCCTCCTCCAACAACCAACCCCAAAATAGCTTGGGAGGGAAAAAAGTTGGTGAATATTCAAAGAGGTGCACGCACTGTTCAGATCGTGAAATAGAACATAGACATTCAATCAGCTCTTTTATCTGTCTACTACTATGGGCCGTCCAAAGCGTAATGTCCTCGCCGCCGCCGAGGCATCCCTCACTCCACCGGACAGCCTTGAGCCCAACCAGTACATTGTGAGGGTCGTGAAACCCGAGGGCAACAACCTGTACGCTTGCGAGCTCGCCAACAAGAAGCCGATTATCCTGGAGCTCGCGCAGCGTTTCCGAAATACCATATGGATCAAGCGCGGTGGGTTCGTCGTCGCTGAGCGGTATCCTACCGAGACAGAAGAGACTCGAGCAGACGGGGAGATCATCAACGTCGTGCGTGATGAAAAGCTATGGCGCAAGCAATCGTACTGGTATGTGACGAGGGGATAGGGTATAAAATTCACACGAATTCATGTTTGCTGACTCTTGGCTTCGCTCCAGGCCCGAGGAGTTCCCGAAGACGTCTTCTTACAATAACGGAGACTCGGAAGACGAGTCCAACGTCGGCAAAATGCCACCTAGCGACTCGGAAGAGGAGTAATTATAGTTTTGAGAAACTCTATCTGGACGTCTTATTTTGTCTTCTTTGGCTCAGAAGACGACACCTCTGCTTGGGCAGCTCTCTCGTCCTCTGACGAGCTAAAGTAAGCTGCGAGGACAGTGAGACCCAGCACGTTGACAACAACTGCCGAGCTGATGGGGGTGCTGGGAAAGACGTTCCATGCCCACTCCTGGGCCAGCCAAACGCCATACACGACCAAGGGATTTGACCAAAACCGCCAGATGAGATAGGGCGTGGACCAAGCCAAATAGGCATAGAACTGGTAGTGCAGCGATCGGGCGAATAGCAAGCCAACTACATTGGCGGACAGCATTGTGGTCATGACAAACTCCGGGGTGACCTTGAGCGACACACGTCGCTCCTCTGGCGGCGTGAATGGGGGCTTGAGCTGTATAACAGACAATATCATGCCCAGAAGCGGGCGGTCGGCTGGCTGCAGCCACTTGACGGTGATGAAGATGAGCAGGAACACAACATGGCACCCCAACAGAGCGAGCGCAAACGGCCGGCTAAGGAAGACTTCTTCACCCAGCATGCGCCAGTTGACGGTCCACTCGAACTTGAACTGGCGGGACAGCTCGAACGCTCGTCCCAGGTAGCCCTTAGCGTTGGCGGGGAGGAAAGGAATCGCGATCGCCAACTGGACCTGTGCCATCAGCCAAAGCACCCGCAAGCAAGGCCAGAACCCTCGTCCCAGGAACAGAAGGATGACCACAGCTGGGAGTGTGAGGAGGAGCGACATCTTTATACCCAATCCCCACGTAAACACCATCGCACCGAACGTCCACGACCTGCGCTGGAAGAGGAATATGGCGAGAAAGAGGAAGAAGGCAGCGAAGCAGTCGTTGAAGCAACGGAGAACGAAGACGCTATGCAGTCGTTTGGATAGGATCAGGAGCGGGAAGACGTACGGCGGGGCCTGGGATTTCTCTCCGTTAGAATAGAGTAGGCGAAGAGAACTTTGATCTAGACGCAATATACCTTGGCTTGCCAGTAGCATAGCATGACTACCGCCAGGGTGGCCATGTACAGTACAGCGAACAGCTGCTGGGCAAGGAGAATATTCTTCCCCTCACCCGTCAGGTAGTAAAGACCGGTGTATGTGTACAGGTGTGCTGCTGGGTAGACGAGGGGCCCTGTGCCTCCCTCCATCTTTGTGTAGTCTCGTTCGCCATTGACATACTGGGACACCTGCTCCATGTACGCGACCCAGTCGATCTCGGTATCTTGGTTTCGAAAACGTCAGCCGGTGCGATTCGCATTAGAGCTAGCTAGCCGATCAGCGGTTGCTGGCTGCGTTGGCCATAGCTTACAAGGGACCTTCCAAATGACCAGGCAGGTGAGCAGCGCATCACCAAGCCAGAGCAGCGGGGGGATGAATTTGGCATACTCGTTTCGGCGAGTGGCGACGTCGAGAACAAATCGAACAGGCCCGGGAAGGCCTTGGGCTCGGGAGAAAGCCATTGGAGCTCCTCTGAAGCTCCGAGCTTGACGTTGTGGTGGGGTCTTGCAGGTTTGGGGGGGAAGGAATTCCGAGTCGAGGCGCCACGCGACGGAACTTTAAATGCACACGTGTTTCACGCCTCGGCAGATGCATACATAACCTTCAACTTATAAAATTCATGACAGCTCCCATTGTTCTGAATTGATATGTCTCAAAAACAATACATAGCTTCTTTTTTTTTTAAGCCTCCTCTAGACGAATCTGATGCGCTGGGTATATTGTCTGCCTATTCTTGACCCAAGCAATAATCTAATAGACTTGGGCTCACAGCTTGCTCTTCGCTTGAGCACGGATCTTGTCCACCAGCTCTACCACCCGCTCTGCACACCCGTAGGACCCCTGATATCCCCATCCAGCATGCCCGTAGTTGTGAACAATCCACGTGCTCTCGTCCAGCTTCTCATCCTCAATCCTGACACCCCCGTGGCGGTATGGCCGCAGCCCAACCCCATGCCGGATGACGTCCAGACCCGCGACGCCCTTCCCGTTGGCAATGTCAGGCCGCGCCTCGACAACCCGCTTCATGATCCGGAGGGCAATGTTGGGATCGGGCGCAGACTCCCAGTTGTTCATGTCGTAGGTCCCACCGAGGATCGTGCCCCCGCCCGCGGCCCTCTGCATGGTGTAGATCAAATCGGCAGGCTCATCCTCCGTCCCGGAGACTGACAGCATAGTCGGCAGCTCGTTGCGCACGAGGACAATCTGGGCCCTGATCGGGGCCAGTGCCGTGTCCTCGACGCCGCCGAGCTTGCGCGCGCCAAGGCCCGTCGTGTTGATGATGATGTCCGCCGGGCGTCCCGTGTGGCTCAGGGTCTTGGCCTCCTTGATGTTCTTGAGGACCCCGCGCTTGAAGACGACGCCGGCCTTGCGGCACTGCCCGAGGAGCCATGGGAGGTAGATGGCCGTGTTGATGCAGACGCTGGTGAACCCGCATCCCGAGTCGGTGCCGGGGAGGAGCTCGTCCTTGTTGAGTTCCCGGTAGTCGTCGAACAGGTCCTTGAACCAGGGCTCAAGGTCGAAGAGACCCAGTTGCCCCTCAACCTCCATGTCCTTGTTTCGTCTGTAAACACGGCTTGCTTTGATACGAGTTAACATAACAGCTTTCTTGTCAGGGTAGAAGTGGCCAGGGTTGTGTCATTACTTTGAAAATGAATTCCAGCCTCGGGAACTTCCTCTGTGAGCCGCTTTATCTCTGGCCATGTACGCCGCTCCCATCTACTCCCCTCCCTGCTTGACATCCTACATCAATCCGTTGTTAACGGCGAATTCGACCAAGGAGGTTCAAGAGACATACGGCTCAAAGTTGGCACCTGCCCATGGCGACGCATACTCAATATCGTAGTCACCCGGCATATGCTTGGCCACGATAGTCAGGTCACACCCCTTGATACTCTTCGAGAGCAGCAAGGCTGAAGTGAGGCCCGAGACGCCAGCGCTGAGATCACAAGGGTTAGTGAGGAACGGCACTCATAAGACAGATTGATAAGCTATTCAGCTTAGTCCGGGGTCGAACCCACCCAACGATAACAATTGTAGGTGCCATTTTGACTATTCGCAATTGCTGAAGGCTGTTTCCTCAGTCACGACTGTCAATTGTTGAAACAACACAGCTTAGCTTATATGGTATGACATATCCAGAGACAAGGTTAGTAATTATCCCCGGAACAATTCCGCACGGGTTCTCACGGTATTGAGCCCTCGCCGCGTGAGTCAAGTGGTCAAGACATGCGCGGGGTATCATAGAGTCGTATCCATCCTTTGTGCATAACCCGTGAGAACCCGCTCGACATAGGGCGCTCCGAAGTCGGGTCAAGTGCAACAGAAGTGCCAAGTATCTCTCTTATCTCCAACATCAACCATTTTGTCAAAAAGTCATTGTACCGAATTGGCTTTGATGCAGACTGTATATTCTATTTCCAAAAGATAAGACTTTCTGTAGTTAATGCATGATTGCCTGTGGGTTCAAATAGCATTATGAGTTTTTATCACGACATACCCTCATACAACATGACCCGATCTTCTCCCAAGTAGGATTATACAAATATTTTATTATCTTGTTGAACCCACGTATGGCTTACCTCTGAGAAAGTAGCTTCAGCTTGGTCGTCAGCCCGCCAGGATTGGCTCCAACCATCTCATCCACCTTCTTCCCGTCTTTAAAGAAGAAGAAGGTCGGCATCGCTCGGACACCCAGCTCTTGGCTCAGCGCCGGAAGCTCGTCAACGTCAAACTTGACAAAGTGGATCTGCTTGAACTCATCCGTCTCGGAAAGCCTGGCGACGTGTTAGCAATCAAATCCCGAACGGACGGCATGACCCTTCCGGCGGAGTTCACCGCCGTTTGAAAAAGGGAGGAATATCGAAAGCTTACTTTTCCAGGATCGGAGAGATGGCCTTGCAAGGGCCGCACCAATCGGCGAAACAGTCCACAATGACATTGTCGTTCTGTGCTAGGTGGTTCCTGAAGGTCTTCTCACTACGCGGTCAGGCATTGTCAGCTCCGGTCCCACATCCTGCTATCAAGAAAAGTCTTCGAGGCCGTACTTTGGAGCATGGTGGACAACCAAGCGAGAAGGTGTCGAATGGAACTGACGAACCGCAGCCAATGCAGATGTTCGTAAAGCATAGCGAGAGGAGGCCATTGTTCGAGGGGCGAGAGCGTTCATGATGGCTAATATGGCTTGCTAATGTCTCGGAAAACCAGGGCGCTCGCTGAAGGTGTAAGGTCTGCGACGCAATGTGTGACTGATGCTTCAATTCATTGCGACTGTGAAATATCGGAATGCCGCTGTAGGTTAGCTATGACGAAAATTAGCCGATAACGATAATGCCCGATAACGATAACCGATGACGCAGAATGCTTCCTCAGCGGAGTAGCATCATAGAGCACCTAAGCTTCTGGGCTTGTTTGAGCTCCTCCCTACTGAGGCTAGGAACCTCGTCTCAAGCTGAGATCCCGGGGTAAGGTATCTCTCGTTCCTGGCTGTTCGATCCATGCGATAGAATCCGTCTTACAACCAGTCCTCGGGCTGCCATTGGCCTTCCTCTCCCTCGGTGGCTTGCTCTAGGAGGCACGGTCCTCCCTTCACACCCAATGTAAGCCATGAACAAGCAAGCAACTCCCAGTGGCGGCAGCCCAGACCCATACAAAGATAATATCGTACCTTGCTTTTGATCAAGCCACTTCATTCAGCTTGGAACTACACGCTGCGCCATACGGCTTACGATCCGCGCACCCCCCTGGACGCTTAATTTCTCAAGCTGCTCACTCTGTCACAATCACCTTACCTGAGATGGAGCGTCCGCAAGATGACCATCAGGTCACTACTACATTGCCAGTTGTGCACTGTGAAGCGCCACTCGGTAATCAAACAATCACACCCCCAGCGCCCAGTTCATGCGTGGAAAACGGAAGCAGAGCGGACCGCAATATGCAGTGCTACGTAATTCTACTCTTCCCCTTACCTGCTGAGAGGTACTGCCCTCATCCTGGAGAGCGGTCCACGAACCAGGGCACCTTATGCGCCAAAATTCCGTAAGGGGACTCAGAGGGTTGCATCTGAGATGAAACCACTTAATTTAGCAACACGGTGTCCGTCGGAACTCAGTACGCGCAGAAGCCTCATGCGCGTAACTCTGCGGCTGGCGAGAATGAGATTTATGCGCTGCACCAGCTGATGCTGGGTATTGGCTCGCTGCTTTCATCCCAAATGCCTGTTCCTGCAGCTTGAGATGACGTTCCCCACACCATTTGGGTGGCCTCATCCTCTCCCCATGTTACATATGACGTAGGACACATCCACCACTAATATCGAGAGCTGTCTGGTGACTTGGAATATACTGTTGTATTCGACGGCTATGCCGTCCTGAAATCGAAGCAGGGCCTTCAGTCAAAGACTATTATCCGAGGCCAACCTGATAAACGCCTGTTCAGAACCTCCCGTCCTTTATAGAAGCACCGCTTCAGCCGTGGAATAAGCAAAAAAGGAATCCCCAGAAAAATCGCATCCAATTACGCCTCTCCATGCAGTGTAGGAATGTGAAAAAGAAATAAAAAAGCAATTAAAAAAACACCGACTCTTTTCTTTTCCGTAAGTGTAGATGGTCGCACACTAGAGCCTGGATGAATTTGCCTCCCAGCCCAGTGTGCTACCAATCTCCTCTCCAGTAAAAGGGACAAATACACCAATTCCAAATAGATAGCTCCACTCCAAATCCGATTGCTCCGGGGGTATCAAGGTAATATGTGCAGCAAATATAATGAAGCAGACCCAAAGCGCGCGCGTATACCTTTGAAAAGCGTGTATAGTACAACAAAAACCAATTATATCCAGCTGGCCAACAACCATTGTTCCTGTAGTGAGCCTTGCCCAAAAAATATGAGTATGATGATGATTCTTGCGAGATTGGTCACAAGCCGCCCTTTTTTGTTCGAGTTTTGACCTTTTTTTGGTAACCGTTATGCTCGCACCGCTTGACCGTTGGATTTTCGAGATTTTTTTCTCTGTTTCTTTTGTTGTTATTGTTCATGTTGGTTATCTGATAATTTTCGATTTTTTTTTCCAGATTCACACCGATTTTGCCAGTTTTTTTGTGTATCTTTCGACGGTCAAGGGTTATTGAGCTGTAAGGTCTTTTTAAAACGGCTGATGACGAGAATAAAAGAGCGACTGTGGTCAGTTTTGACATAAAAAATAGTGTTCCGAACTTTGTCGGTGTTTGGATATGTTGCTGGGCGGATTGTGCCGGGATCTTCGCAGAATCCATCAAAATCACATTTTGGTAGGGGTTGATCTCTGTCTAGGTCTATTGACCTGTAAAACAATGAACTTAGTTCGAGGCCTTGGCGTTTGGGGTGGATTTACTGTCCACATCTTCGAGGCTCAAGGGAGAGGGCGGGGCTGGGACTTCCTCGTCTTCAGACTCGATATTGAGGAGTCCTTCAACGCTCCGCAGGGTGCTTCTATGCTTGTGCACGACTTGGGGATGGGAACCAACATTTCCCCACTTGGCACCTGATTCGTCAATGTAATCCTCATCATCGCTGCTTGGTCGGCCATCTCCTTGGAGGTTATTAAACCCACTAGGCTCTCGGTTGGGCGTCAAGCGGACGAGATAATCGTCATCTGCGATGGCCAGATCCTCTTGGGTGGTATTGGTAGGCGAGCTAGCAAATGGAGCTTCGGTAATTCGGTTGGCTCTGAGCAGACTCTCACGCATTGCCGAGGATCGCTTAGTGCTGACTTTTCCAGAGAGCCATGAGCCTTCCGAGTCAACGGAAGCCAAGGACATGGAGAGCACCGGGTTGCCGTCAGGGGAGGGCACTGAAGACACCCTGTCGAAGGAAGTTGAGCGTGGGCGCTTATGGTCGGATGCCCCTGGGATTGGGATAGGTAGTGTGCGGGTGTCATCGCCCGTGGATTCTACCACGACTGAGAGGTCTGGCGATTGCACTGGAGACTCGGGAGGGGATGGATAATCTGGCAAGTCCTCTCGGAATCTCGATTTTGTTCGGAGCGAGCCTTGTTTTCGGGAGATGTATACACCTGAACCTGGCTCTGCCGTTGGTAGCTCTTGGCCTTGTAGCCTGGCAAGTGCTTCGGCCTGTGCTTGGGCAATCGATTGAGCTCTTATTGCTGCCGCGGCAGCAGCGGCAGCCTGCATTTCATCTCTAGAGGTATTCGAGAATGAGGATGGAGTTGGATTTTTACGCAGGCGTTTGCTTCCCCATCGTATGATGTTGGTAAAAGACAGGCGGTTCCGAGTCCCGCTACTTGCTGTACTTCTTCGTAAACTATCTTCCTCAACTTGGTCTCTCTCGGAAGCCACTGTGGATTTCGACTTGGTTCGCCTCAAGCGGAGAAGACTGCCTAACCTTGAGCTTGGTTGGACAAGGGATGCTGTCGATTCTTGTGCTTTGGATTCTCTTGGTTGAAGATCCTGTCGAGGGGGCTCCTGGGGAATATCCTTGGCAGACTCCTTCTTCAATTCGTCCACCAAGGGAGCTTGGTCCAAAACCATTGGTTCAGGCTCCTCAGTAGACTCATGTTCGATCTTGTCAACAGGCTCGTTCTCTAGTGGAGCAGGCTCCTCAACTGGCTCAGCACTTGAGTCAGCCGACCTCCGGTGCGGGTGCTCGGATTTCTCAAGGTCTGAAGATTCAAACTTGCGATGAGACGAGGAGATGGATTCGCGACGCTCGGATGATGTCCTGACGGCAGAGGGCGGGTCAATGCCGAGGCCGACAAGCTCACGGCCAGCAACACCTCTCTCGAGATTCTCTGGAGGAGGAGTTCCAGATTTGCGAGCCTCGGCCAGTTCAGCCTTTTGCTTCTCAGCGCTGCGGGCCAGTTTACGTCCAGCCCGCTCGCGGTCCTTCTGTCGTCGTCGCTCTCGTCGCCTATCTTCCCGCTCCATCAGCTCGCGAAGGCCGCCAGCGTCAAGGTCGTCGGCTAATTCGTCGATACGCTTCGGGCCTTTCAGTGTAGGTTGCCTCGTGGGGCCGATATCAAGGCCAAATCTGCTCTGCCCTGGATGAGGAGTCCGAGAGGGCGAGCTTCTGGGCCCCGGTTCATAGCGAAGAGTTGGCCTTGGAGCTAGCGAGTCGAGTGCCGAGACCTTGAAGGAAGCATAGTCCGAATCTGACGACATGCTAGAATCGATCGAACCAGGAACAGGGATAGAGACATCAGACGTACGCGGTACTCCAAATCCAGGCATAGCCTTGAATCTTTTGCTCTCTTTCCTCATCGGCCGCCCTGATGTCCACTCCTCGGCAGCGGGTCTGACGGGCGCAAACTCGCTGATGGCCTTGATTTCAGCAGCCCTGGCTCTTTCTTCCTTCTTTCTGTTGCTCTTCCCCCGGCCGGACTTCTTTTTTTGCTTATTATGGTGTAGTGTGGGTGTGCGGGCCCATTCTGGTTGAGGCGGGAGGTCGTGTTCATCGATCTGCCGAGAATGCCGGGCCCGTCGATCCGGAGATGCTCTGCGCTTCTCTGTGCCCAATGAATCCTGTCGACCCGGAGAGAAGCTATATCTCCGCCCAGGCTGGCTAGACGGACCAGGCTCAATCCTTTGCTTCTTCTGTGAGACGCCTCGAGTGATTGCGCCTTCAGCATGTGCCTTTGCAGACGACCCCTCAGCGTCAGATAAAGCTGCGCCGTTGAGGGGCCGCTTCCGACCGCTCTTGCGGCGGAAAGGCCACAGGGCCATCCTGCGATAGTCCCTGTGGACGGCGCAGTTCCTAATGCTCAGGTATGGCTGACGATGGAAGTATTAAGTAGGTAGTTCCGAGGTCAGCGACGGGCTGTAGCATGGTGCAGGTCCTCCAGGAGTCGACGTCGGTGGCAGTATTTGGTCGTTCTTTCACGAAATCAACTACCAATAATAGCCTTGAGCAGCAGGCTATGATGGTAAGCGCATCGGTGTGGTGACGGAGGCTCCGGCGATGCGAAAAGAGGTGGTGAATCTCAGATACCTGGAGATTCGGCAACTCGCTGTTGTGTTTTCAACATACAAGGGCGACGGAATGTTAATCTTGGCGTGTGGGCGTGTCGGTTTAAATATTCGAGACACTGTCGACAACGATGCGGCGAGTGGGCGGCAGCATTTATACAGGGGGCTGACGGTGTAAAAGGAGGGAAAAGGAAATCCAAGACGTATGCGCCGTTCCTTTTTTGCTTTCTGGAATTTGAAGCTGCTCCCGAATCGCCAGTCGAAGTCACCACAGAAGAAAACGCCCGCGTATTGAAGGTGAGGTGCTGGAGGTGTAGGCAGGCAGGTGTCAGCTGGCAGGTGGTAGCTATTGGGTTCCTGCTTCTTAAGTTGGGCCTCTGCTGTTTTTGTGGTGGATTGGCGAGGGCAGCCCAGGTTAGGGAGGGGCGCGCTTGCTTAAGGGGGGGTGGTCCCGAGCGATGGAGGCGCACTCACTAATTAGCGGGTACTTTGTGCTGAGAGGGATTGGATCACTGGACTCGCTGGAAACTGGGCACAGAATGGATGCCATTAAAACCGGGGCGGCCTCGTTCGCTCCCCTCCCCTGTACGGCTCCCAGACCCCCCTCCTTTCCCACAATGGCCTAGGTGGGCTTGGGGGCTTGGAGAGACCGAGATGCTGTTATTAGCACCACGCCCATCTTGGGACCAGCTGACACCACGCTATGCCGTCACAACAATCTTTGGAGGCAAGAAGCATCCCGCCAGTTCTTAGCGGGCTGGCTCCAGAACCAACGTCTCTAGGCCCGGTCTCCCACCGCACTAGCTGTGAGGAGGCACTTCCAGGTTTTCACCGGGATAGGCCAGCCCTAGCCGATCAAGAGGAGGCCAGCCCAATCTAGCAGCCGTCAGTAGCCTCATCATTTCCCCAAGCGGTCTGCCAGCGCCAAGAACTCGTACTGGAAATGGGACGCGGAGCACAGCAATTCTATTCCTGTAGGGATAGCGATGGTGCATAGGTAGGTATCTGCCAGACACAGTCAACCAGCACGGCCCTCCAAGGTTACCTCTGCCAGCGACATCCCATCAAGCGCCTACACTGGGAATTGCGTTGCACAGAAACGTGGATGCTTGTAGCATTGATGATGTATGCCGCTTAAATGGGCTGCAGGGATCCTCACACACACCCCCCGAAAAAGAAAAGATTCGACATTCTTTCCGTCATGGGTACTTTAGCTGCCCGTCCGGTTTTTTTCTTGCCGGTCCCTTGCCAGGACAGCACAGGGCCAAGGCCCGGGGTCTCTGCTGCTCAATTTCCTTGGCGACTGTCTACGCTGGCGATGAGCGATGAACCCACCAGCCCGCCTCCTGGCTGGGTTTGCGCCGTGTGATTAGACCGCATAGGTCAGGATTATCTTATGGTGTGCCAGAGATGATTATGCACATGAAGTAAGGTACAATGCATTGCAAGTCGTGTACGCCTGAACTTTGCTCATCTTCTCCGTTTGACGGACAACCTCCGGCTTATTGAGAGTCATGGGGCTGGCCTCGGTCGACCGCAAGAGGTCTATTAGTTGCTTGCTCTATCGCTAACCTGCTCAGTCGGCCATTGGCCGTGCTACTCGTTCATTCCGCCATGTACGAGCACTACGTCTAGACTACTGTTCAGCCGCGGTTGATGAAGCTTGCTCCATCAATGGGCCCTTTAGTGGCATTTTGGTTTGCCCAGTAGTGGCAAGCCGTCACCCGATTGACGTCGGAATTAACTCCAGCCAACCAGTCTGAAGGTTCGTAGACCTCATTTGATCGCATCACATACCACCAACCAAGGCCTGCCGAGAGGAAATCAATTCGCAACAGTCTAGCCGCTCCTTGCTTGGTTCCAGGACTCTCGATGCTTGTACAATCAGTCCCGCATCAACCCATCCTCGTGCCGAGAACCCAACGGCTGCATGTAGATATAGGTAGGGTAAGGTAAGGTACCTGCCACCCACTGGGCTGAGGTACCACACCTCTGTCTGGTTTCCACATCGAGACATCTTTCGGCCCCGCCCGCCGCATAGGCATTTCAGCACAACGCTGGGCGTGGCAGTGAGCGTTTTCTTCATTCCTTTTGGGCGGGCTTGCTTGCGGGAATCTTCGTATCACCCCCGGGTCTGAGGGTTTGCTTGCGCTGGACCCGCAACAGGCCCTCGTATTCGTCCATTTACAGCCAAGCAGCATGAGTCGCTACTCAGCGGGCGGAGCGTGCCCAGGGAGACAATATGCCTTGTTCATGCTGTGCTCTGGCAGCGACCAGCTCCCCCATTTTCATAGGCAGGCCGTCAGGACAGGACGAGAAAGCTCCGGCGTGTGCTGTCCCATGTAATCAATCCCACCTTCGACCCTCGTTTGGGGTCACCGAGGCGCTCATGATCTGCGTGGGCCGGGCAAGGGATTCCCGCTAGCTTCATGATCGATTTCGATGGCTGTCATATGTGCCTTGCAATATTGCGACTATATCCAATCCGTCCTACTCGGGTGCACCACCACACTTGATCATTCGCATCCCGCAAGGGCCGTTGAGATGATTCACAATGGGCACCGCTGTCGCCATTCGCGCACAGGCGACTCGATGTGCTACATGCGGAATCTCGCACGTGTAGGAGCGTGCCCAATCCCTGCGTGTCCCTGTCTCCCTTGCATTAGTTCATATTAGGTTCGAGAGAGTACACCGGCGACACGGCCTTTGGTCAGACTCGCTGGCTTTTTGCAAAATACCTACATGTCTGCATGCCGGGGACAGTCCAGACCCTGAGCACTTTGCCTGCATCGCCCTCTTCTCTGCGCATGACACGTAGTTTTAGCTCCACAGTCCTGCAGGCCTCTCTCCACAGTTTGCGGTACGCTGCCTGTCGTCGTGGCATGGTTCCTCTTGACCGTTGGTTGGCAATGAGGGCTTCAACCGACGACGCCTGCCAGCCCGTTCATGAACTTGCAATTTAGCGGTCGTTTCGTTCTGGAAAACCCGCCCCTGACCAAAGAAGCTTAAGGCTGGTCATCTCATCTTCTCCGCAAATGGCTCTGGACAAAGGACGAGAAGCCAGGTGATTGGTCACGGTGTCTCAATCGCCAATTTAGACTCTGGCCAGTGGATAGACTTCTCGGCAGTTCGCGCCTTATCATGCAAAACGAGCCCCAGCGACATGAATCGCATAGTGCTGCCCACGTACGTCTCGCTTGCCATTTGGGGGACACCTGGGGTGTGAACAGCACCTACTTACACGTACGTACATACCAACATCGAGCATAGATATGGGAGGGCAAGGGGTCTAGGCCCAAGAAAGGAAGGGTTACCATGGTGAGAAAGGGAGATATGCAGGGCATTATCTGATGGAAACGCAAAAAAAGAACTCATCCCTCGATGTGAGGCATGCGACCAGTTAGAAACGGGGCGTCATCCTTCCTGCCGTTAAGCGGCCGTCTGTTGTTAGCTTCTCCCTCTGAGTCGGTCTGGGCCGACGGGTGATGGCCAGACACGTGGATAGGGTGAAACTCTGTGCATGCATCCCAAAGGGGGAGACTTCCCAATGTGAAAATGGTGAGGAGCTGGTGAGACCAAGCGGTGGCTGTTGAGTTTGACGGCCTTGCGCACTAGACCATGCCGCACCATGGAAGACAAGCACAAAGTCATTGTCATGAATCGGTTAGCAACCTAGTGTTGAGCGACCTCTTTGATGTGGTAGGCAGGCGGCTTCGCGTTAGAGATCTTAGTACAAATCACGACGTCAGTGGTAGCGAATCAATGATGCGCATCTCGCGATTGGAGTCCGGTAGCACGGATAGATGCTGGCCAGTAACAGAATCGCAGTATCCATGCCCGCCATGTACATTTCACAAGGACGGTGAAGGTAGAATACCCGCCATTGCCCAATGAACCTGTCATCCTCAAACCAGAATTTGAAACTAGAGAGGAAGGCCAGAGCAGATCTTCATGGGTCCCTTTTCAGTGCTATGGATGTGCCTACATTAGCTCATCTCGCCCAGTCCGAAGTACCCACTGTCCTCAAGAGCTCCCTCAAGTCCTGGCCAATATGGAAGACTAGGGGTAAGCGCTTAGAAGTTAGGGGGGAGCATGGTTTGATCCGCGGCAGAAAGTGTAGGGTCTGTGTTGGCATCAGTCGTAGCCATAGGCGGTAAGGAAAGATCAAAGGATATGGCAATGGAAGTGGTCAGGTAAATAGAGCGCAGCGCTTAGAAACTTGAAACGTTGATGGGCAGCTGCACCTACTTTCGCTAGCTTGCAGCTTGGCCTAACCTGGAGTGAGGCACATGCGAATTCTGGGGAAGATCAATTAGGGCACGTGATTGAGCACCTGACAAGTTCCCGGAGCAACGCGCAAGCATTGTTTACAATGGCGCCGCTCCTGTAAGGCTGCATCCACTGCTTGGCATTTGCTTCAATCGCGACTTTCGGTCCGCTATCGCCCTGCGCAGGGTCAATATCTCAAAAGACACAAGCGATCCTACAATTATCTTCTGAAGCGCAACTACAATCAAGATGACGTACAACCCACGGATGAGCATAATACCGACCAACCAGCAGCAGTCAAGGTCGCGCAAGAAAGACGACGACACGCATTTTCGTCTGCCCGATCACGAGATTGTGGGCTGCATCACTGAGCTCGGGATCCCCTTCTCCATCGCCGATCTCCAGAAACCAAGCGCAGCCCACGTCCAGCAGATTTTCGAGTGGTTCGCTGAGCTTCTCCTCAATGCGACGCGCGAGACCGTCGAGCC